AAGAGTGACTCCTGCTTTCAAAGTGAAGAGTCAGTTTCTCTTCCCTGCCAGATTCTTGCTCTTTCTGAGGCAATTATTACTAAGCCTTTCTGTTTGTGCTTTTCCAGAATTTTCTATGACTAATGATTTTCTAACGTGACCGTGGTGGTAAAATAAATGAAAATTATGTGTTCTGTTAGCCTTCTTAATTAGTGTTAATTTATGTTGTTAATTGAAGTATAAACAAGGCAAAAGTCACATTCAATGATTTCCTTACTGGTAGAGAGATGGGATTCATATTTATAACCCTATATGCTGTTTTTCATATTTCTATGTCCAATTCCATTTGGACATTATGGGAAGCTATAAGGCCTGTTTTATTGGTTATTAAATACAGGGTCTGACAATTAAGTTCACAAACTTGTTGCAATGATGTTGCTAACCTTTTTTGATATCAGAGGGGTTATTCATTATGAATTTGTACCAACTGGACACACAGTTAACAAAGTTTACTATTTGGAAGTGCTGAAAAGGCTGTGTGAAAAAGTTGGACGACCTGAACTTTTAACAAACAATTCATGGCTCTTGCATCACAACAATGCACCAGCTCACATGGCACTATCTGTGAGGGAGTTTTTAGCTAGTAAACAAATAACTGTATTGGAACACCCTCCCTACTACCTAATCTGGCCCCAATGACTTCTTTCTATATCAAAAGATAAAAGAATATTGAAAGAAAGACATTTTAATGACATTCAGTACATCAAAGGTAATACGACAACAGCTCTGATGGCCATTCCAGTAAGAGTTCCAAAATTGCTTTGAAGGGTGGACTAGGCACTGCCATTTGTGCATAGCTTCCCAAGTGGAGTACTTCAAAGGAATACTTTGGAGGTGACCATAGTGATATTTATAAATAAGGTATGTAGCACTTTTTCTAAGATGAGTTGGTGAACTTAATTGTCAGAACTTGTATATTGCAGACAGATATGCCACTGTATTAAAATGCATGTTACTGTGTCAAATAATGATATCTTTGTGCATAAAATCCTACATTCCTGGTAACTGCTTTCTGGAAAGTGCATGACAAAATTTCAAGTGAGGTAAAGTCTAATCCCAAAAATGTATAACAGTGTCTGTATTAACAACTTATCATTGGGGTTTAGAGATAAATTTTTACCATTTAGGATTTTGAATATAAAAACTGATTTTAACTTTGTCCTTATAGGCAATTGATTTTTAAAAAATCAAGAGAATGGCTTATGAAAGTGAACAGAAAATATTGATTCCTAAAGTTGTGGTCTAAGAAATACCTATGATAAATTACCCATTGCCCATCATATATGACACACACAAAATCATGGATTATGGAAAGAATTCATTGATTATTCCTGAGTCTCATATTTCCACCTGCTTAACTGTCATTTCTAATTAGATAACCTGTTATTTTCATACTTATTATCAACTCATCTAAAAGCAAACCTGCCATCCTAACCACCTGGCTTTCCTGCTCATCTTACTTATGTGTTATTAATAAGACTGTGACCCAAGACTCACTAACTCTGGGAATCACAGGGTTGGAACAGACTGTAGTGACCATCTAATCCCCTTATCTCCATTTGCAGACAAGAAATCCGATGCCTCAGAAAGTGAAGGAAGGCATAATGATACACAGCTCATTTGTAGAGAAGCCATAGCTGGGACTCCCATCTGCTGACTGAAGTCCAGTTGCCTCTTATTCTATACCTCTCAACTTCCCTGAGGTGTCTTCTCACATGGTGTCCTTTGTTCTCTGTCTCTAAGGTGATAAGGGCTTCATCACCTTATATCTGGTCTGTGGCAGTGGTCTCTAATATGCCTTTCTCTCAAATCCCTCTTTGCCAAATCCTTCCTCTTCATTGTCTACTTTTTAAAATACTAATTTATACTGGACTGGGGCTGAAGAAATCTGAGCTGTGGTCCTGAACTCTCTGTGTAACTTCAGTTTTTGATATTTCAGTTTATTTGAATGTAAAATATGATTCTCAACTGGAGTTGTATCACCACCTAGGAGTGTTTTGAAATACTTAGGGGTGTTCTCTTTTGCTTTGTCTTTGTTGTCATAGTGACTGATGAGATAGGGTCACTCCTGACATTTAATAGATAGGACCAGGAAAAAACGTCCTGCAATGGCATGGGAAAATTCCACACATCAGAGAATTGCCCTCCCAAAATGGCAATAGTCTTCCCCTGTTGAGAACTAATCCCTGCTTTTATATCTATAGCCCATTTCTCCACAAAAATCATATTATTCCTCTCAAATTCATTTAATAGTTCCAAATTTAAAAAAGTTCAAACTCTTCCATATGGTTTTCAAAGCTTTCCAAAAACCAAGACAAAAACTAAGTGGAAATTTATTATTCTGGTCAAACTAAACAATTATTTATTACCTCTCTACAGGCCTTTCTTAATCCTACCTCTGTACCTGTGCTTATGCTGTGTTCTCTGTGGGGTTGTCCTTCTTCTTCCCTTGTACATAGCTAATTTTACCAATTTTTCTAGTTTTAGATCAAGTACTTTATTTTAAAGAATATTTTTATTTGCTTCACCCTCTTTTGAACTTTTATGGTGCTTTTCCTAAACATCACTCTTGGCACTCAATCAAATTCTAATTTGTGTTGTTACCTAGCTCTGTGTGTATTTTTCTGGCTTAAAAATAGAATACAAACTTTTCCAGGGCAGGGATCAGAACATATACTTCTTTACATTTCACAGTACTCATAGCAGGCCATGCACTTAATTAATGTTTGTTGAGTAAAACCACATCACAGCAAACACAATTAACATTTCGCATCAACCCCTCCATTTTTATACCAAGGTCCTCCTGTCTCTTAATTCCTTAGGCTGAATCCAATATTTGTTTTCATAGAGGCTGGATCTTTTGTTTTCTCAGGTGTTCTGCCTCTGGATCAGATATCCTCTGCCTCCTAGCTTTTCTCTTTGTTGCTTTTCTTGGTTTTCCCTTGTGTCAGTGCAAAGCTACTAGCAGAAAGAGGATGAGCAGAAAGTTGGGAGGGGTTTAAAAACCCGATGAACTGTCAGTTGGAGAGTGGATGAATTAAGGTGAATACAGATGGCTGATGCACATTTATTCCCTTTATCATTACCTGTTAGAATCTTTCATGGCTGATGCAGGTGGCACATTGTCATTAATGTTGACATTCAATGTAACTGTGCTTGGGCTATTCAATCATATCAAATAAATGTTTTAGAACAGGTAAAGCAAATGGTATTCTTAATCTTGTTCTTTCAACAGAAAGGTTTTAATATTTATATTTTCAGTTTAACTTTTTATAAATGTAAGATATTTATACCTGAACAGGGTTCACTTTACATTGAGTAATATATATTTTTATTTTTTACTGACAGTGAATCTGCCTGCAGTACTCAGTTTCTTTTTATCATATGAGCATGTAGTTACCCTATGTTAATACTGAAAAATGCCTTAAAACATTAAAGAGCTTGGACATTTTAAATAAATTGAAATGACATATTTCAAGTTGATGCAGAATTTTGAATTTGTACACTATAATCTCAAGACAACATATCTTGTACTTTCTGAAAAGTTGTAAAAGTGCCACCAGAGAAGGAATGATGCATGTTGAGTTGGGAAGTTAGGAAACTGCTTTCTATAGTCTGTGAATGTGTCTGCTGCTGAATATGTGTTATCTGGAGGGTCTCGACACCCACATAACACTTGAAGATATGTGATCTCTCTGCATGGTCACATACGCATCTTATGTACATGCTGAAAGAGTAACATGATTTAGTAGTATCCTAAAACAATGATACCTAAGAAGACCCCATGAAAGAAAAATTAATTTTATCGCATTGGCATTAAACCATGCATACACTTGGTTGGTAATAGTTGTGTCTCTCAGAGTATATAGATGATTCCCCTTAAAAAGTAGTAAAGTATTTCTTTGTTTGTTTTTGTACACTAGGCTTTCATTAAAACAGGTGCTGGCTGATACACCAACAACAGGCTCTTTCTTTGAGACTTACATTTGCTACCTGGAGGCTTTCAAGTTGTTATTTTCCCAGTTTCCCTTGATGTGTCCACTGTGGTTCTCCCTGAAAGACTCTCTATAGTAACCAAATATACATATTACTTTTTTCCTATTTTTTTTACCTCATTGTAATAATCTGGCTGTACACGTTATTTTATCATAAACGGTTCTTAGAGCTTTCATCTCCTGAAATCCTGGTGTTTTTATGAAAATATGGTACAGATATTTGGGAAATGTCAGTCAAAACATAAAAAGGGATTTGTTCATAATATTGTCAAGAACAGATTGGAAGTAGAAAAGAGCTATGTTTTGAGTTTTGGTTTGAGAAAGGAGGGACATTAAGTGGTATATCATATAGAGACAGTAATTCAGAAAGGTGATGAAAGTGAGTTTAAGAAAGGTAGCAACCTTTCATGGCTCAGCAGCAGGTAATACAGGTAATGAAGAAAGATATAAACCAGGGAAGAGAACATGGTAGGATGGGAATAGAGTACTCTCTGGTGTCTGGTTGATTTCCCCAGCTTATTAATCCATGTATACATTATAAAAATCTTCTCCAGGATCTATGGAGAAACAGAAGTTTAAAGCCAGTCATATGCTGCATAACAGTTCCGTCATCTTTCAGAATTCTCATGTAACCTGTAGGCCTTAAGAATAACAACACCAGCCATAAGTGTAACAATCTCCCGACACTGCATTTTTGGTTTCCATCATACTGGACAGATTTTCAGTAGAGACAATTGTATAAGACAAAAGAGAAGGCAGAGGTAAAGCAATCTGAAGATGGGCTTAGGAAATAAAGTGGGTGTTCCCAAGTTGCCATTCATTCTATACAGTAGTATGGATATGGCCCTGACCCTTGAGGAATAGGCAACCCTAGATCTTGTCCACTAAGAAATAGTTCTGGCCCTACAAGAAAAGGCAGAACCTGTGGACCTATAACTTGTGAGTAGGGGAAGTGGGTGGTGTTACCTCTCCAGCGCTGTAACTTCGGAGCCTTTGGAGGTGCTGTCGGTGTGTCAGATGACTGGGAAGACGACTGTTCTGAAGAGGGATTCGGGGGTCAATGAAAGTTGTAGCTCGACTGTTGTGGTCCACGAAAAAAGACTGCAGAAGACCAGTGAAAAAAACACACTGTGAGAATAAGCTAGAATGAAGTAAAAAATGTAAGGGAAATGCTACAGGGCTCAGTCATTATGTTTATTTCTGTTCCTCCTTTTTATCTACTCAAAATTAGATGGAAAACTGAGACATTCTACATCTGTTTTCTCAGTAGTTGAATGAAGCAATAGCAGTCAATGATAAACACTTTACACTGTGGCATTACAGAGTAGTAATTATAATACTTTATTTAACATGAAAAATAAGAGAAATAGGGGACATTATAGAAATGGCGGTGTGAGGTAAGCCTCTTGAAATCTCCCCTGGAATTTACAACAAATTGAACAACTATAATTCCACAAAGGACTCCCTGTGCAGCAGACAGGCAAGACTAAGAGACATGCAACTGAAATATTCTAAAGGTGGGCATATTGGGCAAGTGGAGGAGGAAGGAAGGGGAAAGTGCAGAGATGTGGGCAGCAGCACAGGCTGCAAACACAGACTGAGCTCTGAGCTCTGAGATCCCTGCATTCTGGAGCTACTGCAGTCATGGAAAAGGAAGAATCGGACTGCTAGTGCTCCCCTTATGACCCACAGTTCCTTTTGAGGGATCAGCATATAACTTGGCCAAAACACACCCTCACAGCAGAGACCTAAGAGCAAAGACTGAGGGAAGAAGGGTGAAAACTGTGGTTAAGCCTTATTGCCAAGCAGAGGACAGAAGGCATAAGAATGAAGCCTAGCCATCCTTTCACCCCACCCTCCTAGAGCTCCCCCCACCCCTATCTGTCCAGTGTTAGAAGCAAAACAGTAGTAGTGTCAGATCAAAAGAACAGAATAGTCGCAGTCCTGAGAACTGTGGCTCTGTAGCCATGGACTAACAGCCAAACTAGTTCTGGTGAATGGGAGGGAGCCTTGGGTGCCACCATTGCTCAGAAACACCTTTCACAACCTACCCTGCCCCTGCCCCCACCTATCAGGGCGGATTCCTGCAGCGGTAAACAGAACCGCTGAAACACACAGGCCCTGAAACTGGTGCAGGAAATGCTTCAGAGCTTCAGAAGATCTCCATGTCCCCCAACAGAGGCGATGCCCTGACCCCCAGGTAACCTGCTCACAGAGGAGAAACCCACCTTCCAGAAAATCCTCCCACTGTGTGAGAATCTGGAACAGTACAGAGAAAATATAACACTACAGCATGAGACAGAATAAAAGACTACATCAGAGAGAAAATAAAACATTCTACCAACACCTACTGGAAAGCAAAAGAAAGACCTTTTCCTATCAACCTGTTGCAAAACCCACTCCTGTAGATGCTTAGGAAGAGAGACAATAATTCATTAATTGCCATATATAACCAAGGTAACAAGGCAGCTCAGAAACAAAATGAAAATTCTCCAAAAAATGAAGTTAAAGACATGGAAATATGTGATTTAAATGACAGAGAATTCAAGATCACAATTCTGAAAAAACTCAATGAGATACAAGAAAACACAGGCAGTTTAATGAACTCAGATACATAATCAAAAAACAAAATGAACATTTTACCAAAAGATTGACATTTTTAAAAAGAACCAAATAGAAATTCTGGAAGAACTCAGTAAAAGAAATGAAGAATCAAATAGCGAGCTTAGGTAACAGAGCTGACCAGATGAAGGAAAGAACCAGTGATATTGAAGATAGAAATATGGAAATGGCAAAGATTGAAGAAGAGAGAAACTTGAGAGTTAAAAAAAAATGAAAAAACTGTATAAGAACTTTCTGACTTCATCAGAAAGAGCAATGTGATAATAATGTGCATACCAGAAGGAGAAGAGAGAGAGATGGGCACAGAGAGTATATTTAGATGAATAGTCAATAAGAACTTCCCAAACTTGTGGAAAGAACTGGATCTTTGAATCCAAGAAGCAAATGGAACATCTAATTACCTCAACCCCAACAGGTCTTCTCCAAGGCGCTTTGACAGCAAGAAGCTGTCAAAAATTCATGACAAAGAAAGAATCCTTAAGCAGCCAGGGAAAAGAAGACAGTAATCTACAAAGGCAAGCTCATTAGATTATCATCAGGTTTTTCAGCAGAAACTCTCCAAGCCAGGAGGGAGTGGAATCAAATATTCAGACTATTGAAAGAGAGAAATTATGAGCCAAGAATAATATACCCAGCAAAGATATCCCTTAGATATGAAGGAGTAATAAAGACCTTTCCAGACATACAGAAGCTGAGGGTATTTTCTAACACACGACCTACAGTACAAGAAATACTGAAGGAGGCTAGTTGACCTGAAACAAAAAAAGCAAAAGTATATAAAACAATGAGTAGTACTATGGACAGAGAGACAGAAGTGAGGAATGGCAACCCCTAAACCAAAAAAGACACTATACACTTAAACATAACATACAGGGTAAAGAAGGAAAAAAAACACTTAAAAAAAAGAGGAAAAAGACAACTTGCTACTGCAGCACAGAAATCAACTCACAGCATAAATAGGGATCATTTGTGACAACAAAAACCTAAAAGAAGAGAGAGTAAAGGTCTGAACTGGCACAAGAGAATGGAGAAAGGAAGCATACTGAAGAAAATGAATACTCTAAATATGAAACTTTCTTTTACATAAACTTAATGGTAAACAGTCAGAAAAAATCCAGAACTGAAATATATAACATAAAAAAAAGAAACAGAAGGAAAAATCATAGAATACCACCACACTGAAATAATAGACAGCAACAAAAAGGCAAAGAAACAATGGAGACACAGTCCTACCAGAAAACCAAGGAGAGAATGATAGGAAATCCTCATATATCAAGAATCACCATAAAAGTAAATGAACTGAACCAACCAATAAAAAGGCACAGAGTAGCAGATTGGATAAAAAAACTAAACCCAACCATATGCTGCCACCCAGAGACACAGCTCAGCTACAAGGACAAATACAGGCTCAAAGTGAAAGGGTGAAAATTGACATTCCGAGCAAATGGTATTCAGAGACAAGCAGGTGTAGCTATACTGATATCATATGAAAGAAACTTCAGGATAAAAAAAGTAACAAGAGACAAAGATGGACATTTCATAATGATAAAGGGGACTATACAACAAGAAGACAGAACAGTCATCAATATTTATACCCCCAATCAGGGACCACTGAAATATACACAGCAACTAACAGAATTAAAGGGAGAAATTGACCAATATATAGTTATAGTAGGGGACCTAAATATATCATTGACAGCTATGAATAGATCATCCAAACAGAAAATAAATAAATATCATCCCTAAATGACACATTAGATGAATTGGACATAGTTGATATTTATAGAGTACTTCATCCTAGAAAATCAGACTATACATTTTTTTCTAGTGTAAATAAAACATTCTCAAAGTAGACCATATATTGGGCCATAAAACTAGCCTCAGCAAATTTAAGAAGATTAAAATCATATCATGCATATTCTCTGATTACAAGACTTTGAAATTAGAGATCAACTGCAAAAAGAAAGCAGGAAAAACCACAAATATATGGAGATTAAACAACATACTTTTAAAGAATGATGGGGTGAAAGAAGAAATAAGAGGAGAGATCAAAAGATACATAGAAACAAGGTGGCAGGATGGCTCAGCTAAAAAAAAATACATAGAAACAAATGAGAATGAAACTACATCCTACCAAAATTTTTGGGATGCAGTGAAAACGGTTTTAAAAGAGAAATTTATATTATTACAGGCCTATCTCAAGAAAGAAGAAAAATCCCAGATAAATAACCTCATATTACACCTTAAAGAACTAGAAAAAGGAGAATAAATGAAACCCAAAGTCAGCAGAAGGAAGGAAATAATAAAAATCAAAGCAGAACTAAATGAAATAGAGAACAAAAAGACAATAGAAAAAATTAATGCGACAAAGAACTGGTTCTTTGAAAAGATTAATACAATTGACAAATCCTTGGCTAGACTCACTAAAACAAAAAGAGAAGACACAAAATCAGAAATGAAAGAGGGGTTGTTACCACGGATGCCGTGGAAATACAACAGATCATCCAAGAGTACTATGAAGGACTACATGCCACCAAATTTAATAACCTAGAAGAAATGGACAAGTTCTTAGAAACATATAGACCTAGGCTGAATCACAAAGAACTGAAAAATCTAAATAGACCTATCGACAGTAAGAAAATTGAATCAGTCATCCAAAACCTTCCCAAAATTAAAAGTCCAGGACCAGGTGGCTTCACTAGTGAATTCCACCAAACATTCAGAGGATCTAACACCTTTCCTATTCAAACTCTTCCAGAAAATTGAAGAATAGACAATACTCTCTAACTCATTTTATGAGGCCAACATTACCCTGATACCAAAACTTGGTAAACATAACACACACCAAAAAAATTACAGACCAATATCTTTGATGAATACAGATGCAAACATCCTAAACAAAATTCTAGCAAATCAAATGCAACAATGCTTTAAACAAATTATACATCACGACCAAGTGGGGTTCATCCCAGGATAATGCAACATTTTTTTATTTCTTTTTTTGAGGTTTTATTGTTAGTATATGAAATGCAATGGACTTTTATACATTGATTTTGTAGCTGGCAACTTTACTATATTTGTGCATTGTTTCTAACAGCTTTTTGGTAGCGTCTTTAGGGTTTTTATATATAGCATCATGTCATCTGCAAAAAGTGACAATTTGACTTCTTCATTCCATATTTGGATTCCTTTTATTTCTTCCTCTTGCCTGATGGTTCTGACTAGGACTTCCAATACTATGTTGAAAAGCAGAGGTGATAGGGGATAGCCCTGTTGTGTTCCTGAACATAGAGCAAAGGGCTTCAGTTTTTCACTGTCATATATGGCCTTTATTATGTTAAGGTATTTTCCTTCTATACCCATTTTATTAAGTATTTTAATCATAAATGAATGTTATATCTTGTCAACTGCTTTTTCTATCTGTTGATATAATAATGTGATTTTTGTCCTTTATTTTATTTATGTGATGTATCACATTG